CACACACACACACACACACACACACACACACACACACACACACACACGGCGCTCTGTCCATGTCTTATCTTTAGGCTTTTTCTCCATGAGATCCTTCCCAATCACGCCAACTATTTAGCACTGCCTTTTGGACGTTAAGTCTGTTTTTAACACTCAGGGCAGTGTGCCAGCCCACCAACACCACAATCACCAGTGTGCCTGCTGAGAATGCAGATGCCTGCTCCTCCCCAGAAAGACCCAATCATAACCCAGGGAGCGGGGTTTCTGGCTGTGTAATATACTACTCTGTGAGAGTCATGTTTTCTGTTGTTAACTAAGGAAATACACTTTTAAAATTCCCTCTATTCTCTTCTCTCTGTGCCTGCACCCTTTCTCTTCCCCCTCCCCCCTCCCCTGGGGGACTAAATCCTTAGAGCCAGTAAACTCTCTTGAGAGCAGCTTCCCAATAAACTTGCCTTTAATATATTTTAAGAAAAAAACAAAAAAACAAAAAACCAACCCTATTATCAGATGTTTCATTGTTATGATCTTCAAAGGGGAAATTAACTAATTAACCACTTTTTTTCATTTAAGTTTTCTACACCATGTGAATGATATTCTGCATCTGATGTTCCCACTTAGACATAAGTAGTTTTAAGAACACTGTGAGACAAGAAGACAACCTTAAGGAATCAATTTTCACCTAAGAAGAATCCTAAAACTCCATTTGCTGCTCCCAAACACTGCTGTGGTTGGATGGAAGTGCCGCTCACATAAAGAGAAGGGGAAGGGAAGAGATGACGGGCATTAACTCACATCCACCGAATGTGGTTCTTAGATTTCTTTTCCACCAGTTCGATGCCATCCAAGACATTGGTGATGTCATATACTCGCCTCTTCCGGACACCCAGTTTTGTGGCAACCTTGTTTAAGTCAAGAATGCCCCCGGGGCAGATCTAACAAGATCCATAAACTTCCGAGTTAAATACACCAGCAACGACACATCAAACCGAGGCCTCTACACTTTCAGAGCTTCTGTAAAGGAGGACAGAGTACCATGTGAACCGACATTTCTCTGCCCTCCGGGTCAGTCGCTTAGTCCCTCAGGATCAGACCAGACAGAGACAGACACCCCCACCCTCCCCTGCCGCTGCACACCAATCCATCCATCACTGCTAGTTTCTATGGAAACATTTCTCTAGCTGAATGAAAAGTAATTTGGCCTCAGCTGGTCTAAGCAAACTTGTCAGGTTTCAATAAAGCCCAGTGTGAGTTTCCACTAATACTCATTTTTACAAGTCTCATATCTC